TCAGGGTAGAGATACGGCTCAGTGGTACAGCAGTTGCTGAGGTCTCTAGCAGGATGCGCATTCTGCTACATTGTATTCGCAGTGGAGCTCAGTGATTAGGCAATAGAAGAGGAGGTAGAGCTGGGAGAGAAATAGAGGAAGTGGAGGAGAAAAAGGAGGCTATCAGCCATGGAGAACCAAGGATGGGTCAAAAGCTGTCCTGCGTAGCAACTTCTATCAAAAGGTTAGACATTGGGTAACAACTCTAATTGTGTGGGCATCTTGTTGATTGAGCCATTTCTAAATATATAAATCCTTTAGATAATCATTAAGTTTTAAGAGTCTCATTTCTACCAGGTACTGTGAGGATGACAGATATTGTCTGGGGTTCAGCCAAGCTTTGTGGAGACAGCATGGGGGATTGGCAGAGCCATCCCCCATGCTGGCATCTCATAGGTGCCAGGGCCTGTGCGTCTAGCTAGCTAGGTGTAGCCCCAGTCAGAGCTGAAGAGCAGCGAGAACATGGTGGCTTCCCGGGAACAAGCCGGACCAAGCTCAGTTTTCTAAATATCATCCCCCCTACGGAGGTCCTGAACCCAATCTCCAATTTTATAAGCAGTGGAGGACAGATGCTGGGAAAAGTGTTTGCTGAAATGGCATCACAACCTGAGTTCAAATCTCCAGCAGGCTTGTCAAAGGCATGAACTATAATCTCAGTAGTGGGTAGGTGGGAACCGGCACAGCCCTGAGCTCACTGGCCTGGTTGTCTAGACAAATCTAGTTTCAAGTTCTGTGACAGACTATTCCAGAAAAGAAGGTAGACAGAGATTAAAGAAAACACCTGACCTTTACCTGTGGTGCCTCCATATATATAAGCATATTTGCAGGGACAAATGCACCATATATATGTGTGCAGCGTGTGCAAACACACACACACACACACAAACACCCAGTGAGGGGAGTGATGACAATACCATTCAGTACCCATCTTTTGTAGTCAATGCAAAACAAAGATGTTTTTACTCTACCATGAACTGTACTTCAGACCTGTTTCTTCACCCTTCAGTGATGCTACCAGATATAAGACTTCACTTTCCTTCTACAAGCTTTTACTAATGCCATCGATCTAAGTCATTCTCTAGAAATACGAGTTCAAATATTAATTAAACTTTTCTAAAAATTACATCTATTACAAGTTATAATATTCAAATGCCTATATGTATCAGAATTAGAGATGTTGGGCAAATTACTCTTTAAGTGTGAGATTCTCTCTCCTTTCACACAAAGGCAGGCCAAAGTTCCACAAGATTCAAGAGACCATGCGGCACTGAAAAGGGAACTTGAGGCATAGCATTTCCTGTTCAAAGACCGCCCTATCCCTATGCAAACATGTAAAATATTTTCCTTTTCCACTAAGAAATGAGTCTGTAGAATTAATCAGTTATTAGACCTTTAAAAAAACTAATTTGGTATAACATACCTTAAAAATGTCCCAAACTATAATTCATTGTTATAGTGCATTACATAGAAATAAACTTTAAAATGAACTGAGATTATCTGATTCAGTGTAGATGAGCCTGAACCATTCATGTGTGAAAGGTAAATGTATCTGTAGTTAAAATTATATTGTTTCAAATTACAAGCTCATTTTATGTTTTGAAGTTTTATGGAGTTTTATGTACTGTAAAATCATCTATATTAACCACTGACAGGTTTATTCTCTTAAGGAGATTTGTACCTGTGCAATATACTTGTAACAAAATCCTGAGTATCATTGTTTGTATTATTTCTTTCTCCCTTTGGACAATAAACTTCTAGAAACATGACCTATCATTTGTGATTTAAAATGCCTTAAAGGGATTACATCAACTAATCCATCTTAATTGTTGCCAATACCAGCATTTACTTCCATCCTCCTTCACAGTTCAAAATAAATGCTTATACCATCTCCCTGCTTACTGTATCTGAAGCAGATCCAAATCTCATGTATGACCGTATGACCTCATGTATGTCCTTCTCTTCCTCTGTAGAGGGTCAGATAATGAATGTTTTAGGCTAAGTGAATCCCAGGGTCTTTGTTGCAACTATGTATGAAACCTAGAGCATAAAAGTCACCAAAGACAATGCATAAGAGACACAGCTAGATTTGGTTGCTATTGTACTGGACTTGGCCCACAGAAGTAATATTGAGTTTTGAGCTAAGTCTTAGGAAAACCCTAAATACTGTGTGCTACTACAAGACATTTGGGCTATCCTAACACTTTGCTTTCCAGAAGAAACCATTCATGGGCATGATGACTTTATACAGCTTCAGCACTGAAAAACATCACTCTGCATAGAGTACTATGTCACTATTGCTGGCTAAAATTATACTCTACCTTCTCCTGGGAAGGTACAAAAATTTCTAAGTATAATACTATACAAACATGGACTTACTGTAGCTGTCCAACCTTTCAAATTGTCTAATATCTATCTCTCTTACCCTTTTTCCTTAACTTATTCATTACATGCTATATAACTTTTTTGTCCCAGAAGATCAAAATATCAACACTTTCTCTTCATATAAAACTGAGTTCTGTATTCCCTAATTTTGTACCAGAGTTGGAGGCTAACTCAGTCTCCTTCTCTTTCACTGCTTGCTAACTCTCCATGTCAGACAAACTGCTCACTTACTTGCTCAGCCTCCTTTGAGGATAGCAAAGCCACATAATAACAGTAATGATACAAGACTATCAGGTGAGGAAATGACAGGATACATACAGAACATTCTTTTCTTTTTAAATGGAGAGGGCTTACAGTGGCCAAGACCTCTGGTCTGTTTTCTTCCTGCCCTAATTCAAATGTGGTCCTTTGAACTGGAGTAGCCATTAGAAGCTAGAACTGTAAAGCGACCAACACTGATAACTTTAAACCCCCAAATCATGACAGTTTTTATGTGAAAAATAGACCCTTTAAATACACTTTTCATTCAATTTCTAAACTATTATTCTTATAATGTACAAGCTAGCCGAAGTGTATTGTGAATTTTCAGTAAATAGCATTTCTCTGACATGGAAAGCAAAACAGTAGAACACGGTCTCTGACCTGAGGGCTGACATTCTTAGAACAATGAAGCCAAAACAAGCCAGAAGCCAAGATGATTATTCAGACACTATATAGTGGAGGGACAGAGAATCAGACAGAAAGAGAGGCAGAGACCGAGAAAAAAACAGAAAGACAGAGACAGAGAGACAGAGAAACTGAGAAAAAGACACAAAGAGTCAGAGAGAAACAGAGGTCAAAGTCAGAGACAGAGAGAATAGAAAGAAGCTAATTTATTTTTTACTACTGTGGAGTCAATAAATAATCCTTATAATTTGCAATCAAAAGCAAAAATTTAAACTGTATTAATTTTTTACCATGTGCTTCCACTATTTGAAAAACAGACATTCAGAACTCATTTTTTAAAGTTACATTCTTGTGATTTTTAAGCTAGTTAATTTATCATTATGATCAGGTTTTTCGCATTTTTTAAAAAATACAGGATTATTGTCAATGCAAGACCATGTCTATTACTTGCGGGATCTTTGAAATAATAACCACCAAGTTAGTAATGTACTGCCAATAGGACAGTGTTCAAGCACTCACACACTAGTTTTGCTGGCAGATCCATCCTATTCTGCTCAGCTGGATCTCCCTTCCATCTATGTTATTATGTAATTCTACTGATCCAAAAGAAAGTCCACAATATGGTTATTTTAATTCATACATCCTTCTAAGTAACAACTTTTAAATTTTAATAACTTTGTATAGGAGCTACAGAAATGATTCAGTAGTTAGGAGTATGGAAAAACTCTGGTAATTAAGGTCCACGTACAACATAGCTTGGATAGCCTCTGGGATCAGCTCAGTATGGGAGACTCCCTTCATTGGCAGGGCTTCTCCATCTCTGACCTTGTCTTGGAAATTCTAAGCCCTGCATATGCTTCTACCTGAGGAATGTCACATAGCCTCAATTAGATTATAAGATCAATTTCCTTTCTCCTAATAAGAACCTGTTCAGCCAGCACCTGAGATTCCTAATGTGCTTCCACGTGGTAATGAAGTAGTTTTGGTACCATAAGCCCTCAGCCAATGTCCTTTGTCCATCCTAGATGTTCCTACCCTCAGTCCTCCAAAAACCTTATAAACTTTGACTCACCCCTTGTACAGTTGATCCACCTCCTGATAGCTGGTCTGAGTATGGTCGTTCACAGTATGTACTCACAGGGCTTCCAACTCTACCCCTCTCCCTTGTCCTTTCTGCTCCCACTGCCCTCATCAGTTAACGAAAGGACACCCACAGAGGAGTACTTCCTGCTCTTTCAGAGGTACTTAGCACCATTTGGAGTGGCTAAAAAACAACTCTAACTCCAGCTCTAAGGGATCCTTTCTCTGTCTTCCATGGGCCTTGCTGTCACACAAAGCTCCATTGTAGATACACATGATTTAAACAAAAAGTAAATCTTAAAAAAATGTTTTTAACTTTATTTTCATACAAACAATGCACTATGTATATTACATGCACATGCAAACACACACACACACACACCTTTCTAATTCTAAATTGCAAAGCTTTCTGTTCTATGACATTGTTAATTGGTTTTATGCTAATGCAAGCATTTATCAACTACAAGACCTACATATTCTGTAATCTGGTATGGTGTAGCTTCTAGATTGTTCTCTTTCATTCTAGTGTTTATAACAGAGCAGGATACCTTTGAACTGTTTAAGCTTTACCTAGAAAGAAATCTAAGTAAGAGGAGGTTAAGACTCCATTACAGTAGTGGGGCAGGAATTAATAAAGACCCAACATCTTTTGTAATGCCCAGATTTCTTAGTTGACAAATCAGTATAGTAACAGCAGCAGAGCAGCTAGGTGGCCTTATCAAGCACAAAGGAAGCAATAGCACATGCTACTGAATGTCTTTCTGACTGCCTAGAAATGGTAACACATGCAGATGTATTCTCTGTTATAAAGTATAACAAATATTTCTCTGGATTTTAGTTTCCTCATAAAAGAGTGAAATCTGCTGGACATAAAATGAAAGAAACTTTCAAAAGGATATCTTCCCTTTCTTTGATGATCAGTTCATTCTGTTCTTCCAACTGCCGGATCTTCTTCTCAAAGGACTCCTGCTCAGTTTTCAGTCGTTCCTCTGTTACCTCCTTTTCTTCACTTACTCTAAAAAGAAATACCCCCCAAAATGAACAAAAAATATAAAGTCCATCAGAAAAAGCCACATGTCTAAAGCTGCAGCTCATCCAAACTACATTTCCACAAAGGCACACAGGATTCTCAGGGAGGTCCTGTGGTTTTCGTTTACTCTTTCATAAGACACTCTTCTTCAACTTTGCAATATCTATGCTCCAAATTTTAAAAGATATTTATAAGAAAACATTTAGAATCATAGTCTACATTTTTTTTGTTGAAGCAATGTCAAAGCACAAAGTAACAATAAAAGATCCCAGTCTCCATCTCACATAGAGTAGACAGTAGGTCAGTCAACAAAGGGATAATCTAGTGAAGTAAACAGCTAAGCTGGCATCATAAGGATGGAAGCTCGGCCGAGGACTGCATGCCCAGTGCTGGCTTATTAATTCTTGGGAAGGAAAACAATAGCTTATGCATAAAAAATTTACCACCATCATCAATTATTGACTCTTCAGATGACTTCCCCCAAATGCCCATAAACTCTCCTCTTAACATGAAAAGACACTTAGAGCTAAGTAACAGGACTAGCAATGGTGCCAGAAGGAATGAACTCCTCTTGAAATCTTGTATTTTACTTTAAATATTATTGCATAGCTTACATTCCTCTGTAAGATAATCTTATGTTTTAATATAAAAAGCCCTCTGTGGTAGTTTGAATAAGAATGGTCCCCCGCAGGCTTATATATTGGAATGCTTAGAAATCAGGGAATGGCACTATCTAAGAAAAATTAGGGAGTGTGGCATTGCTGGAGTGGGTGAGGGAGAAAGTGCATCACTGGGGGTGGGCTTTCTCGCTGCCTATGGATCGGGATGGAGCTCTTAGCTACTGCTCCAGTGCCATGGATGCTGCCGCGCCTCTACCATGATGATAATGGACTAAACCTCTGAACTGTAAGCAAGCTCCCAATTAGATGTTTTTCTCTTCTAAGAGTTTCCTTGGGGAAACAGAGAAAGAGTGGATATGTGGGGCAGGGAGAACTGAGAGGAGTAGAGATACAGAAAACTGTGATCAGGATTTAATGTATATAAAAAACAAAAATTAAAAAATAAGTTTAAAAAGATTTAGAAAAACTCTAAAAAGATTCACAGAATTTAAAAAGGTTAACAAGCTGAAGGGCCCAAGTGAGGATGCCACAATCCCACTTGGGAGGAAGAAGAAAACAATCACAGGGGAGAGGGGCGGAGTGAGGGAGGGATCTGGGTAGGAGTAGGGACAGAGAGGGGACAAGAGAACATGATCAGGTACTGGTGGTGGGGAGAATCAGGAGTGAAGTCCTGAGGGCCAGCAGAAAGAATGGAAACAGGCAACCTTGGGAGGTTAGGAGGTGGGGGAACCCTCTAGCATGTACCAGAGACCTGGAAGGTGAGAGACACTCAGGACTCAGAGGGAGGGACCTTAGATGAAATGTCCAACAGTGGGAAGAGGGAACTTGTAGAGTTCACCTCCAGTAGAAAGACAGGGCATCAAGTGGAGGAAGGGGATTGCCATCCCAGAGTCAAAAACTCTGACCCAGAATTGTCCCTGTCTAAAGAACTACAGGGACAAAAAAAGGAGAAGAGACTGAGGGAAAGGAGGTCCAATGACAGGCCCAACTTGGGAAGCATCTCAAGGGGAGGCACCAAGGCCTGACATTATTACAAGTGCTATGTTGTGGTTACAGACAGGAGCCTAGTTAGCATGGAGGCCCTCTGAGAGGCCCAACAAGCATCTGAAAGAGCCAGATGCAGATATTTGCACCCAACCAATAGACAGAAGCCAGGGACCCCTGTGGTTGAATTAGGGAAAAGCTGGAAGATGTTGAGGAGGAGGACGACCAATAGGAAGACCAGCAGTCTCAACTAACCTGGACCCCCAATATCTCTCAGACACTGAGCCATCAACCAGGCAGCATACATACTGATATAAGGCTCCCAACACACAGTAGAGGACTTCGTGGTCTAGCCTCTGAGAGAAGAAGCATGTAACCCTCAAAAGACTTAAGGCTCCAGGGAGCGGGGAGGTCTGGTGGTGTGTGCGAGGTGGGGACATCCTCTTGGAGGTGGGTTGGGGGGTAGGGGGGAGGAGGAATGGGATGAGGAACTGTTGGAGGGTGGACCAGGAAGGGGCATAATGACTGGACTGTAAAAAACGATTAAATAAGAATCATCATCATGCCATGGTCATGATGTCTCAGTGATGAACACATCCTTTCACAGTCACATATATTAATATTTTAATATAACTAATATTTTCCAGAGAAATATATGGCTTTGACTATGGCTGGTATTCTTGGTATTCTGTCAGATACTGTAGGAATAAAAGATTAGATAAGATTAGGGATTAAATATGTAAATCATATTGACAAGAATGAACTTGAGACACTATCTCTGTTCCATGGGGACTCAAACAAGTGGTAGACCAAGCTTTCCAATTCCCCTGGACTCTCTTGGTCTTCCATTCTAGCTCATTCCCATTCCTTTGTGCCAGCCACCAATACCTAAAAGCACTCTGTACCTGGGACTCCAGATCTAGACTCTGGCAGACAATTTTTACTCTCTTCTTGTCCTCTATTACAATCTGGAATTACAGTCTGACCTCTAGCCCTACAGTGGTCTGCTTGAAAGGGCTTGCCTTTCCATCCTGCCTCCATTCCTTGGAGACACAAAGAACATTGGTATGGACCCAGCTTTTCTCCTTCCTATGGACCACTCCCTTCTAACTCATTCCAATCCCTTTGGGGTAGGCCCTAGAAATACTTTCTATCTGAGACTACCAATGACCACACCAGGCAGGGACTCAGGTAGATGATTTACACCATCCTTCCTGTTCTCCATTACAATCTCTCCATTTTCACCCTCAGCCCAATAACAACTTGCTTACAGGTACCCATTCTCACATGTCAACTCTAATTCTTGGCTCAGACTCCAGATCCCACTAGAACCTTCACTCCCATCTTTCCAGGTTATCCTCTCCCTCACTATAATTTATAGGAACCTCCAACTCCCTGGGACTCTATCTCTTGGTGTGGATAGCATCTCCTTTGCTCTTTCTTGAAGCCGTTCTCAGCATTTTCACCTAGCCCACATCTATATCTCTATGCCACCCACTGGTTGTAGTAGTAGTATCAGGCAAGACACTATCACTATACTTTCCTAAGATCAAGAGAGGGCAAGAGAAACCATCCATGGATCTTTCCATGGATGGAAGGAAAGGAACACCCATCCATCAAAGACAGGACAGATATCAACCCTGTGCTGGCTAGTATTATGTAAACTTGACTAGAGTTACCTGAAAGGAGGGAACCTCAACTGAAAAAATGCTTCCATAAGATCCAGCTATAGGGCATTTTCTTAATTAGTGATTGGTGCCAGAGGGCTCAGTCCATTGTGGGTGAGTGGTACTTTTTCTGAGTTTCTATAAGATCCTGGGGTCCTATGAGAAAACAGGCTGAGCAAGCCAACAAACATCACTCCTCCATGGCTTCTACATCAGCCTCTGCTTTCAAGTTTCCCCTCTGTTTGAGTTCTAGTCCTGACTTTCTTCAATGATGAACAGTGATATGGAAGTATAAATCAAATAATCCTCTCCTCCCCAGGTTGCTTTTGTTGTGATGTTTCATCATTACAATAGTAACAGTAACACTAACTAAGCCAAATACTTGGAAACACCTCAATCACCCTAACCCCAGATGCCTACACACTACTGCAAAAACACAAACAACAACAACCAATACCATATGCCTCTACTAGAAAGAGCCCAGTAATTCTACTGCAGTAGTCCCACAGAAATGCAATATAGCTGAAGCACAAGACAAGGACTTTAAAAAAGGAATTCTGAATATGTTCAAGAACCATAAAGAGGATATAAATAAGCCCTATAATGAAGTCTATGAAAACAAAACCAAACAGTGGAATGAAATGATGAATCAATTTAAGACATGAAGGTAGAAATAGAATCACTAAAGAAATCCTAACAGAGACTAAACTGAAAATGAAAGCTTCAGAAAAGTCAAACAAAAACCTCAGAGATAAGCCTCACCAACTAACAGAGTGCAAGACAATAAAGAGAGAATCTCAGCCATGGAAGACAAGGTAGTAGAAATGGATATCTTGGTCAAACAAAATGTTAAATCTTAAATAATCGAGGCACAGATTATGCAAGAAATCTGGAACACTGTGAAAAGACTCAACCTACAAGTAACAGGAATAGAGGAAGGAGAGAAAACCCATGTTAAGGGTATAGAAAATATTTTCAACAAAATCATAGAAGAAATTTCTCTAACTTAAAGAAGGGGTTGCTTATCAATGTATATAGAACATCAATGTATACAGAAAGTATACAGAACATCAAATAGACTGGACCATAAAAGAAATAAATTTCCACTATAAATAATAATCAAAACATTAAACATACAAAACAGCAAAAGAATATGAAAAAGCTGTAAGGAAAAACACCAAGTAACTTATAAAGACAGACCTGTTAGACTTCTCAATGGAGACTCTAAAAGCCAAGAAGGGCTTAGACAGATGTTCTACAAATTTTAAGAGACCACATGTGACAGCCCAGACCACTGTACCCAGAAAAACTTTCAATCACAATAGAAAAAAGATGTTCCATAATAAAACCAAACTTAAGCAATTTGTATATGTTTAAAAGGCACTAGGAGAAAAAATTCAACCTGAAAAAGTTAACCACACCCAAGAAAACACAGGAAACAAGAAGAGACAAGCAAATAGGTGGTGTTGGGAGCATGCAACACACAAAATAATGGAAATCAACAAACACTGCTCTTTGATAATTCCCAATACAAAGGATCTCAATTCCCCAATAAAAGACGAGATTCAAAAACAGGATGCATCCTTCCGCTGCATCCAAGAAACAGACCTTATCAAGAATAGACATCACCTCAGAGTAAAAGGATGAAAAAACATATTCAAGTAAATGGACTCAAGAAGGAAGCAGGGGTAATAAGTTATCTGACGCCAAGCGG